CTCCTCTCTCTCTCTCTCTCTCTCTCTCTCTCTCTCTCTCTCTCTCTCTCTCTCTCCCTTCCTGCCTCTCCCCCTCTAACAAGCCCAACAGAAGAGCACCACGCGCACGGCTTCGACGCCGCCTCCTTCTTCACCCTGCACGACTTCAACGGCGACGGCTACCTCGACGCCGACGAGCTTCTGCGCACCTACGGCCTGATGGACGAGTCCAACAAGCACGTGGCCCAGCACCGCGTCGACGAGATTGCGCACGAGCTGCTGGACCTGCTGGACGCCGACCACGACGGCCACGTCAGCCGCGCCGAGTGGGACGACTTTATCCGGGCAGGGCACCTGCTGCCGGACATGGGCACGGGGCCGGGCCACCACGGCGACGACGAGTACGAGTACGAGATCCACCACTGGGAAAAGTACCACGACGAGAACACGAGGCTGGAGGACCTGACGCACCCCGAGGACATTGAGCACTTTAAGAAGCACGAGCGACTGGACCGCGAGGAGGAGACGCAGCGGAAGTTTATGGAGCAAAAGGCCGTGGTGGATGAGAACGTGCCGGCCATGTTTAGGAGACACCACTGATCTGGTTGGTTGCCTGGTTGGGGTTATCTAATGTGTGAATGCCATATATATCTTTGTCATGTCTCGAGCGTTGTCTCTTTTGTCCCGTCCAAAATCACCTCCCTACGCGCACGTCAAACACGCAGTGCCAGACGTCGGGCGCAAACGTCTTGACCATTTCCGTGTGCTCCACCTCGACCGTCGCTATCTCGCCGTCCCGATCCGCCGCCCACCCGGCCAGCAGCTCCTGGACCTCGGCCGCGCGCGCCCCGATCTGCGCCACGCCCACGTTCTCGTGCAGGTGCAGCCAGCAATCCCCACCGCCCCTCCCGTTCCCGGCCGCCATGTCCAGCGCCGCCCGCCACGACGGCGCGCTCGACGGCAGGAACCCGCAGTTGATGTGATGGAGCTCGACCGCCGCCTCCGCCTCCGCCTCGCGCAGCTCCGCGACGCGCCTGGCGGCCTGCTCGTTGCTCTCCTGAAACACCACAATGCGCACACCACCCTCGTCCCCCTCCCCCTCCCCCACCAGCTCCGCCGTGTGGCGCGCCAGGTCGGCGGCCCCGCGCACTACACGTACGCGCCAGCCGTTGCGCGCCGCGCCGCGCCGCAGGCCCTCGACGCTCCACGGGTTCAGCTCCCAGGCCAGCACGCGCAGGCCGAGGCGCACGTACGAGAAGGTAAAGTAGCCGATGCCGGCGTACAGGTCCGCGGCCCACCCGTTTCTGGTGGTCGTGACGAGACCCAGCAGCCGCGCCTTCTCCTTGACGTTGCCGCGGCTGAACATGGTCCAGCGCGGCGCCCACGTCTGGCAGATGTCGTTCTGGCGCGTCGAGACCCAAAAGGCGCGGTCGAAATTGTCGTCCGACACGACACCCTCGTCGTCGTCCACCACCACGGCGGCGGGCCCAAAGTCCCCGTGCAGAATGCGCAGGCCGCTGGGGCTGCGCAGCACGTTTTCCCCACCGCGACCCCCGGCGCTCAGCGGCGGGATGCCCTCGTTGACGGCCAGGTGCGTCAGCGGGGTAGTAGGGGAGCGGGCCGACAGGGCCGCGAGGACGGCGGCCCACAGGCGAGAGGCGTCCGCCGCCCCGGAGCCGGCGAGGGCGGCGCGCCAGGCGTCCGACGCGAAGCTGCCGCTGGGCAGGAGGACCATGGGCTCGTAGACGACCCAGCGCTTGGGCGCCGAGTCGAGCAGGAGCTGCCGCGTTGGGTCATCGTCAAGGCTGCTGCTGCTGCTATGGGAAGTTGTGGCAAGCCATTCTGTCACGGCGGCCGTGATGGGGTTTTCGGCCTTGGGTTTCTTGGCCCTCGGCTTTTTGGGCGGGCGTGGCGTTGCGTCCTGGCGTTGTGTGGTTGCTCTTTCGTCATCTTGTTGCGCCATGGTCTGGGTTGGAAGAGGAGCGACTAAGGAAGAGGGTCTCGACGCGGTTCAAAGCTTGCATGGTGGGGTCCATAAAAACAAATCAACAACTCTCACATTTTTTCAAGACGTTGTCCATGCTTACAAGACGTTGTCAGAGTTTACAAATTAACGCTAAAAGTGTAACTCGGGTAACACGCAACACGCAAAATGTCTTGTTTGTGCCTCAGCAGAAATCCCCGCCCAGCTAGCTCGTCTTCCCCGGGACGTACGGATGCCCCGCACTCAGGCCGCCGTCGACAGCCCAGGCCTGGCCGTTGACATACGAGCTCTCGTCGCTGCCCAGAAACAGCGCAACGCGGGCCACCTCGTCGGCGTGGGCCGCCCTCTTGAGCGGGTTCAGCTGCCCGACCTTGCCCTCGGTGCCGCGGCGGCGGGCGCCCTCAAACACGGGGGCCGTCATGCCCGTCTCGATCAGGCCGGGGCAGATGGCGTTCACGCGCACCCCGGTCCCCGCCAGCTGGTACGCCATGGTCTGGGCCATGGACACGACGGCGGCCTTGCTAGCGCTGTAGGGGGTCGGGCCGGCGTTGGAGCGGATCCCGGCGACCGACGCCGTCATGATGATGCTACCCCCGGACACGGGCTTGGACGGCACGACGCGGCCCATGGCGGGCGCGGCGTGCTTGGCGGCCAAAAAGGGCCCCAGGGCGTTGACGCGCATGACGTCCATGAAGCCGTCGGCGTCGGCGTCGGTGAAGAGAGTGGGCGGCCCCACCACGCCCGCGTTGGCGAAGAAGACGTCGAGCCGCCCGTACCGCGCCAGCGCGTCGGCGACCACGCCCTTGACGGCCTCCTCGTCGGCCGCGTCGAACTGCCGCACGTGCACCTCTAGAGCGGGCCCTTGGTGTGGTGGGGAGGCGTAGAGGGAGAGCATCTCGCGCTGGTGGGCCAGGAGGTGCGAGTCGTCGTGGTCGCAGAGGTAGACGGCGCGCGCGCCGTTGGCGGCGAACTGGTGGGCGGCGGCGCGGCCGATGCCGAGCGGCGAGTTGGCGCCCGTGACGATGACCACCTTGTCCTTGACGCGCGGCGACGCCGAGTCGCCCGCCACCGTCTTGATGGGCGGCAGGGTGTTGTTGTCGTCGGCCGGGGCGAGCTGGCGGCCGATGGCGTCCAGCCTGCGGGCTGCCTTGTCGGACGACATTTCGATGGAGTGTAGAGGTGAATTGTGTACTTGTTCTCGCTTGATGTTTTGTCGGGCATGATAGCTTGAGAAGCTCCGCTCTCACTCTGTGTCTTACTCGGCTTTGCTGCCGAGGTCCAGAAGCTGGAGCCGGCGCGGGGAGCTGACGCACGGACCAGTCTCACTACACCACGACGCCAGCAAGCGGACTCAACGTCAGAGCTCGCAACAGAATCATCCACCCGCCGTCCACCCGCCGTCCACCCGCCTTCCGAAAGACGTGTGCGCTTCAAACAACGGCCTTGGCGTTCTGCGCGCGCCCCAGACCTCGTCGAGGCGGGGTCTGACGGCGCAACGGGTTCAAGTCCCTTCCCGGTCCGCAACGTCCTCGGGTGGCCGTGGCTCAGGGACAGCGACTACCGCCGCCACCTCATGACGCTGCCGCATGGACACCCCCGCCGCCGGGGCCGAAGCCGGTTTCGCAGTCGGGGCGGGCTGTGTAAATGGAATGCCTTGGGGTCGGCCGTCCTTTTCCAGATGCGCAGTCGATCGACAGTGGGGAGCAGGCATGGCTACCAAGTAGCTTGTCCAAGCTATCCTATTTGATGGACCGTCTCATTATCCTGTTTGAACACCATTTTCTCCCCCTTTCCTGTCTACCCTCTATCCCTTCTCTACCCTTTTCCTACCATATTCTTACCCTGTTCTCTAGCCCTTTCTCCCTACTCCCAATACTAGCCGGCAGTGAAGGCGTTTATTGAGTGCCGCGACTGGCCCTCTCCGTCCCCCAAATGCAATTTTGGACCACCCTGCCTAGCATCACCCGGACATGCCTTGCAACTAAACCTGATACAGAGTAGCCAGCCTGGCAGTGGGAAAAGGCCTACTCGAGGCTAGCCTTTTGCGACCTGTTGTTGGTGCGTTAGCATGTTGCAAAAGAGCAGAGCTGGTAGGAGAGCAATCCCTTGTCTTTTCGTTGCTTTCCCCCTTCTTGTCCTGCTCCACTTCCAACGTATTTTAACCTTTTTTGACTTGGCTGCTCCTCTTCCACACCGGGGTTCTTGTGTGGCGTTTCTGCGCCCTTCCTATCTGCTGTCACTTGTCACTTTTACCTTGGCTCTTCCCTATCCAACCATCTCTCTCCCCTTTGCCACGCCTCTCCCCTAGTTCCTGTCGCTTTACATTTAGGCATAACGGTGTATTTTCGGCCCCATACTTCCGCCCCATGCCTCGTTGCGCACGGTGAACCCGCTGGACGAAAACTCTCAGCTCAAAAAAAAGGGGGCCAAACACACGCGGTAGCCCACCACCCTCAGCGGGGAGGTGACAGAAAGGCAGCCTTGGGTAACGGTAGCACCTCGACCACCACAAGAGCGGCCACTAGTCTGCGGATATCCCGCCGTCGTCGTTTGGTCACCTGATATCGCCCAAGGGCCGAGTAACTTGGCTATCGAGGGTACATATCTTTCCTGGCCAAAGAAAACGAACGAACGGGCCCGTGTGTGCAAGCCGCGGGAGGTCTCGGGTCCCGAAATTAACGGATCCAAGGGCTTGCATGGGGGCCTCACGGCGTTGGGACGGACACAGGGGGCATAAAAAAAAATAACAGAACGAGCTGCAAACACGTCAAGGCGTTGATTGCGACATTGCGGCACCTGGCTGGACACCGCTCTTTCGCCGTCGTCCTTCGGGTCCAAGAAAGCGAGCCCTTTCGCCGTCGTCCTTCGGGCCCAAGAAAGCGAGCCCCGGCCAGGACCTGCGGCCGCTTTCTCGACCCGCGCCCGTCTGTCAGGGCTGTCAGGGCTATAACATGTCAGTGTTGTACCGATACTACCTCTTACAGCAAATCAGGGCCATTAGGGTAGCCATCTCTATTCCCCTGCCTGTCCGTCCTGCTCCCCGCACGACCGTACAGTGTACCCACACTCTGTGAGGTGTTTTCCGCAACAGAAGAGGCAATTCCACTCCTAATCCTTCTCTGCAGTATTCTGTCACTTTTTCTTTCCGTCATCTTCTTTCTATCACCTTCTACTTTTGCTCTAGCCCACCTCATAGTTTGCTTTTTACTCCTGCGCTTCTTCTTCCTCCCACCCATTATCGCAAGCATTTCCTAGATAAGACTATCCTGTGGGGTCGAGATGCAAGTTGGGAGTCTGGCCCCGGGGGTGGGAGCTGCTCATCGGCTACGAGTGCTACTCGGAGGCCATCGCCAAGTCCTACCTCGCATTTTCCTTCCTACCTCGCATTTTCTTTCCATCCCCGGACGGGCTCGGCCAGGCCTATGAGCAGTGAGTAATGGCGACGCATACACAAGGAGGAGCAGACAGGACTGCGTTCGTGGGTAGGCAGGTAGGTATGCACACTCCCAACCATGCTGAGGCGATAAGCCATATGTGCGTGTGTGTGGACACGCCGCCATAACGACCATGCTACTAGTACATACCACGTATGTACACGCCCGACTATCGCGGCGTGGCGGCACGCCTCCTAAGAGTAGGCCCAGGGGACACGAGCGGCGAGTACAGGCATCGAGCCCGTCAAGGCCGGGGCCGTGACTCTCCCCACATATCTGCATTCTATCTTTATCCCACTCCCAGTCAGTACCTGGCGGCTAGCAGTCGTGCTGGCAAACTGGCGAGACCCAGTCCATGCCTGGGTCGTATGATCAAGGGGAGTCAGCTGGGGCAGGGCAGAGACATGCATCAACTGGCTAGGTATTCAAGGCTCGCGATTGCGGTGCTGCGTTGCGTCCACCATTCTTCCTGGCCTCTCAGTTACCGCAGCTCTCAGGGGTTGCCTCTGCATGCGTTGGACTATTGACTTAACCTCGTGGCGTGTGTGCTGGTCTAGGCATTGCCAGCCCATGTCTATTTGATGCGGCATTCTCGGTACGCTCTTTAATCCCACATTCTCCTATCCGCTCGTCCAGAACGCCTCCACAGTTTGGGGGCGACCAACGGCTCGCCGCCGGAGAGTAGACTCCGGTACGGGTGGTGGCAACCTCTCTCGGCGTATATCCGGGACGGGTGGGACTGCAGGCCGAAGGGCTAGGCAAGGCTAGCCCTGCGATGCCGGTTCTTGTCACTGCTTAGCCGCAGGTTCGTCACGCATATCTCATGCCTACTACTGCCCTCTTGCTCTATAGCCGGGCCAGTGCCCGTCGCTCCCCTCCCCTTCCTCCCTCCTCTTGGCGACGCCAACCTCAGGCCAGTCCCGGCCGTTAGTGTCGCCGGTGTGTTTCCGCGGGCCAGGGCCCTGAGCAATCCAGGGCTAGGCGCGGCCGGCTCCCACCCTCCGCGTCCACACCTGCACGCACGCCCTAAACCTCTTGCGCGCCACATCTGCAAGCCTCGCGTGATGCAGAGGGGAAAATCTCCGCAGCCCACCCGGGGCGGGCGAAAAAGAGGGTGGGTGGGCACTGGCTGGCAGCCTCGCATGTCGGCCGACGATGGATGGTGGGCTGCCGTTGTCATTGGACCACACAGCGTCGCGGGTGCTGGGCCGGGCACCTGACTGGTTCCCTTGTTGACCAACCCTTCTTGTTTTGTGGTGAAGCAGACTATCGATGCAGCAGCAGCAAGCGTCTGCTCGCCGTCTTCATCAAAAACAACGTGCTCGGACGTATTTGCCAAGTTGTGGCTATTTGGAACAACGCCCCGTGATTTGCCGCCGCGTGATGGAGACATATATCACGTGATACGCATATGGCCTCGACACATCAGACAGACAGGACCACCATGTCTCCGCTAGTCCCGACAGCAGCGACGGGCATCTCCCGTTCAGGTTGAGCCTTGTATGGCCGTCAATGCCTTGCCGGTCGGCGCTACGGGGATGGACCCAGGAGCGCAGCGTGTCAGAGGACAGTGCCGGGGACGCGAGTTACGGACCAGGCAGATCGGATTGTTTTCCTACCTGCTGTTTAACCTATCAAGGTCTAGTCGGCATGTCGGGACTTTGGAAGTGTGTGTCTGTGTGTGTGCGCGTGTGGCCATGCTTGCCCGGTCGCGGATCTCGCTGGCGATCATGGACAAAAGGGGTGAAGAGTGGCGGAGAAGAAAAGGGGAAAAAAGCCACGGCATAAAAGGCAACGGAAGCATGACCACGGGAACAAACAGGACAAACACGGCTGATTCGTAACCGTGTGCTACGCAACGCAACACGTAGGTAGCGTCTGGCTACGTCGCCATCCTGCGTTCCCTGTGGTCTGGACCGCCTCCGGTTGTTGTCCAAGAAGGCATATTGCAGCACTCTAGTCGCGACAGGGGCGTGATTAAAGGGGAGGGGAAGCGAAGAAAAGGGGCGTCGAATGCTGCATGTCGGCCGTATTTCATATCCTGGATCGCAGAAACTTTCCGTGTTTCCTTGTTTGCCGCATCGTCCCCACGCATCCCAACGACGACGACGACGATGGCTTCCTCCTCAGCCAAGCCCACCCTCATGCCATGACACGACTCCGACACACCCTCCCTCCCTCACATCAACTTCCTCCCACCCAACGCTGACGACCCATATCAAAGCATGAACCGCCTGCCCAACCCAACCCAAACTGGGCATGGCGTTGTGCCCTCGGCCAAGGCCATCTTGGGCTGGCTGATGGAGGCGGCACTGTGCCGCGCATTAACGTCATGCGCGCTCCAGCAGGGACGACAATGTACTTTGGCCCGCAGCGCAGGAAGCAAGCTAGACCGCCTGTCGATCCGGCTCCCCTCCCCGGAGCCTCTCTCCCCATTTGCGCTATCCTTCTCAGCCAGCCAGCCAGCCAGCCGTCCAGCCGTCGGTGCGGATATCCCTGTTCTCTGCAACATGCATCAAGGCTACTGCTTGCAGCATTGTGTTTCTGTTCTCCAGGATGAGGAGATGAAGAGAGCAGCCACCACAACAACACGCACGCCCACCCTACCCACCGTAAGAGAGTCCATCGCGTCGCCTAGCATTCCTAGCCCTAATGCTGGCATCCCCCACGGGCCAGTCATCAAGTGCCACGCTAGGGCACGTCGTCGCGCGATGGTTGCTGGCGCGTCCTCTAGCTGGCGAGCCCCGGGAAGGCTGCGTGCTTCGTTTCACGCCCGCCAGGCGGGCCAGCCCCGGCTCCCTCTTCCATCTTCCATCTAGGTACCATGTATGTACCTCGGGCTTCTAGGACAAAAGGACCTTCCCAGTCGTGTTGGTGGGTGAGCGGGCCTGGGTTCGGGCGGCTGATATGGAACATATGCAAGGCTCAAGCCCTGTTCCCGGCAAGGAGACGAAGAAGGCATACGTGCTGGCCGCCAGTTCGCTTTCTCCTCCTCGCAACCGAACCCAACCCATCCCAGCCCTTGCTGAAAAAAAAACACACAAGAACTAGAGCTCGCGTCCCGCTAATGGGGGTGGGCCTCGGCGAGCAGCAGCCAGCAGCCAGCCTTGCCCCCGAACAGGCTAGCGAGATGCCGACTCTCTGACCTTACGTCACCGGCACCTGCAGTAATCTCTAGCCCAGGCACTACGCTAGTAGTGTGAGTTCTAGGTTCCCTTTCTCTAGGCTCACTTTCGCTAGGTTCCCTTTCACCCAGGATCAGCAACAATTTTGTGCCGAGCCAGCGAGGCTGCTGCGTTTGCATTAGTGCCTTTTGCTTGGGCCTTGAGCTGTCCCGAACCACAAAATTTCCATCCAATTTTCCCGCCCGCCTGGACGAGTAAAAGGTCGCGACAAGACCAAGACAAACCGGTGAGCGATGCAGAGCAAAGGAGAAAATTCGCAAACACACAAGTCGAAATCAGTATTAGCAACAGGAGAGAAACTTGGGCCTATCCCCGACAAAGGCCGATGGGATCGTTTTGCTGACGGCGGCGTGACAAAGCCCCCCGCGTCGACGCTGGGCCTTGCGGGCATGATCCCATCTTGTTGTTTTGTTTGCCATCTCTGCTCACTCTCACCCTCATCCTCACACACACACACACACACACACACACACACGCCCTCCGGAGCAGAGACCAAAAAGACATCGATGCCTAGGAAACCTGGTCCCCGCCAGCCTTGCCATTCCGTTCGTCCCGCACTAATGCACATGCAGGGCCCCCCGTGGAGAAGCGAGAAGCGAGAAGCAACGAAAAGGAGCAGGAAAAAAACTCTCCGTTTCGCTCCTCTCCCTCCCCCCAGCGTCTGCACAATGCTAGGAATAGAAAGGCGCGAGCAGCCGGACGGCGGCAGCTCAGCGAGGGCACGCGCGGCCTTGTTCGCCAACCACCGCATCCTGGGTCCCCTGCTGCCGTTACTCCCCCGGCGTCCATGCGCCGGCGGGAGATGGGGGATGCGGTCGGGATCGGGGGGCCGCCCGGCTCTCGTCTGGTGGGGGACTGTGCTGACGCCCCCGAGTCTGCGGCACCGGTTCGGTGGGTGAGCAGGTCTGGCTGGGACTGGTACCTGCATGAAGCAGATAGCTCAATACATTTGCCGCGTGCTGGACGCAACTAAGGGCCTTCCTCGCGTGCCTGCCAGGGCGAAACACATTAACAAGGCCATCAAATCACGGCCAAGACCTGCAAGGAACCAAGGGAAGATACAGTAGAGAAGAACAGAAGATGCAATCCTCACAAAAGGCTGACACCGGACCTGGCTGGGAAGCCAACCGAGAAGAACAAAAGGACTCGCCTCCCTAATAGAAATAAACAAAGTCAAAAAGATTAAAGGCGGCGGGCAGACAAAACCCCGTGGTAAGTCTTTTCATGCACCCTCGCAAAGGCGGCCGTAGGAGGAGGCGGGCGTTCCAACCATGGACGGACCAACGCTATACCCAGCCAGCCCCAAACCTAGCCCGCGCCTCGGAGGATAGTGCATTGGGGTGGAGGGGAGAGAATGGGAGGGGAGAGAATGGATTGGAGGAGGAGATGGATAGATTAGAGGGTGTGTGTGTGTTGGTGCTGGAATCGCTTTCTTTCTTGCACACCATCTAGCGGCGGTGAAAGAGAGAAAAGAAAATACAGCCCCAAAGATCGGGAGTCCGCCGCAGGGACTAGGCAGAACTCTGCCCAGCTCCGACTAGTTCTTGCGAGCGCCACGCATAAACTCCCCAGGGGGACAGCCTTGCTAGGGGCCAAGGTGAGAAGCCAATCGGGGCTCAAAATAAAAGGTCGAGAAAGGATTCACATGCCATTCACCTTCCTCAAAGTCTCGTTGACCCGACAGTTACCGCGACGATATGCGGGCAAGACCATAGGGTCGCAAACCGCTGAAAGAGGGAACTAAAGAAACGACTAGAACAAGGACCGAGGCGAGAGCCGTGGAAGGGAAGGAACACCCTCCCACCCTTCGTCTCCTAGCCTCGGCAGGCCTCATCCTAGGGCCCATCCACCCACGCATCCATCTTTAGGGTGGCCACGCCGGTGACAGTGATGGCGATGGTGGTGGTGTGGGCTTTTTTAGGGCAACCATTCCAAGTCCAAGGGGGGTAGACAGGCGCAGCATGAACCGTCTGCTTAGCGTCATCTCCCGGGGCAAAGTAGCTAGCAAGAGGAGCGAAGCTACGGTCCATCCAGTTTGCCCATGGTCACCGTCATGGCCGCATCAAGCATTTGCCAAAACAAATTAAAACAAGCCTAGCAAACCCAAACCAGGTCTTTATTCCGAACCAAAATAAGGCGATTTCACCACCCCTCACGAATCGAAAGCAAATCTCGCACCACCAACCCATCTGCCGACCTTGGCAAGGGATTACCCGGCCATGTTTAGAGCTCTTCGGTCCGACCGGGGACATGGGACGACGAGGGCTCGGCGGGGATGTGGGAATAAAAAGAAACAAAAAAAAGGAATCGGCGCTCTTGAGGCTTAGTGTGCTTTTACCATGGCTACTTCCGCTGGGACTTTTGCTATCCGCAGTTTGTGCCTGTCTGGCATGGCCTACCTCTCACTCTCTAGAACGATACCACTCTAGAATCACTTGAGGACATGGTGTGTGCGTGTGTGCGTTGTCTGTGTCCATCTCTCCCGTCTAGGGCTAGTGGCCTTCAGACTAACCGTCCCATGTCCATTACCCCTCCGCGTTCCTCTTTTCCTCGGCTGGCTTCGGGTGCTGGCAACCCCCTCCTCTGCCCGCTCAAACGCGAATGTGATATATGACAGAAGCATGCGCTCTCGGCCACGCTTCCCTCGAGGCCCCCTCAGACGCACGCAACACTACCAGTCCTGTTCAGGGACAGTTCCAGAAACCAGCCCCAATCATTCCCAGTCGCTACATCGGTCTCTTTTCTTCGGTGGCTACCGCTGATCGCGTTTCACTTTGCATTGCGTAAACCCAGAATCCCCGGCCTCCCCAAATCCGGCCAGCAGGTTGTTGGCAAATAAGTCGCCATCCTCTTGACCAGGATACGTGATTTTTGGTGAGCCCGTCCCTGTCCTTCCTTTGGCCGTTGTTGCGTGTGCGTCGCAGGGATGTGAGGGGAAGGAACCTGCCCCCTCTGGTTTGATTCTCTGCCTGTCCCTCAAACTCACACGCAACCACAGCAGACCGGAGATCCATGCAAGTCAAGAAAGGGGTACGCCAGGCTCTGGCCCAGGGAAATTATCAACATGTCTCCCCGACCAATTCCCCTCGAGGCCGTTGTGAGCTGTGCTCTGCAGGATGCCAACAGCGCGTCCGGTGCTGCACGCTTCCCATCCTACCATATTTTTTACCTTTTTAGTCGACCTGCTAGTGTCCAAGTCGGCCTGCTAGTGTCCAAGAGAAGGAAAAAGAACAAACCACGACGAAACCTTCCAGAGCTCCCTCCTCGCGCGTGAGTCAAACCCCGACCATGCGATTCCAGTCTGTTGCCGTCTTCTTTTCAGCAAGGGACTAAAACAAAATAGTGTCTAGCCGCCGTTCCGCGGGTCCTCGGGCTGGCACCAGTGGCGCCAGAGTTTTCTTCTTTGCCCCTCCCACGGCTCGTTTCTTATCCTTGGCCCCCTCCCCTCGGGCAGAACGGGATATGGGGCCGCGGGGGAGAGAGGGGATCACCATGCACGATAGCAAACCGGCTTGGCATTTGCCCCAGAGAAATCCGGGGAGGGATCGAGGCGGAAAGGCGGAGAGGTGGGAAGGCTACAGTGAGAATAGACGAAGAAATAAAGCGATACACACCATTAAGCCTAGGTTGCCAGATAGCTCGTCGCAAAACACAGGCCCGCGGCAAGGTCTTAGGTTTGAGAGCCGGAGCCTCCATCCCGCGATTGGGGAGGGGTTTGTGGCTGGCTGGGAGGCAAAACCACGACCTGCAAGAACTTGAGGCTTGCTTCGGTGTGTGAAGACTCTAGGAGAAAGCAGAGACTTGGGTTTCGGGTGACGGCCGGGGAGAACGGACACAGAACGCCCACATCGCCTGCTGTGGTTTGTTCTCGTTCCTAGACCAATCCTCGGGACTTGGAACATACTAGGAAAAGGAGCCAGAGGCGCAAAGACGGCCAGCGCGAGCAAGTCTATAGCGCCATCTCGGTGGAAGGGGGCGGCATGCATTGGCTGGACCGGCTCGGGGAATATCGTGCATGGAGTAGGACACACACACGCCGTTGTCCGTCCGCTGCAAGGGTGATCCCTCTTCCTCTCCCCCCATCCGGTGCGGTGGCGGCTCTTCATCCCAAACGCCGAGGAGAAACCAAAGCCAATACAACCCCCAACGGAGCTCCAAAGCAGAACAAAAAAAAAGGGTGGGGGTAGGATAGGCGCCGCCGTCTCGAAAAAGAAATGGAAACCGCCTCGCATGGCTAGTTGAGGAGGCGTCCGGATAAGGGGGCGAGGGCCTCTTCCGTTCTCACCAAACCTGTTGCAAACCCACGAAAACCCTGATCTGCAGCGGACAAACACGCACGCCCCTCCCCCTTTGGCGAGACCAACAGCAGCAACCGTTGACCGTGGTTCTTTTGTGGTTATCCGTCCCGAAGCAGCTCCTCTCCCCGGTGGTCAGGGGGAAAAAAAAGAAACAAATGCCGGAGCACTATCCCTGCGGACGCGGTGCTATAGGCCATGGCCGAGGAGGCCACCATCAGCACCATCAGCGCCCTCATCTCGGGGGATCCTGCCTGTTTGAAGAGTCATTTTTGGGGGTCAGATGGCGCAATGAAAGGACCGGGAAGGAAGGCCGAAAGGAGACCGGTGGCGAAGCAA